AGTGACAGGGGGAATGATGGGAATAACACCGGGAATGGGGGAATAACAGTGGGAATGGGAACGGCAGAGACCCCGATTCCCGGTCAGTGACGGGATGGGAATAACAGCGGGATAAATAACACTGGGAATGGGGGAATAAGAACGGGAATAACAGGAATGGGAACGGCAGCGCCCGCGATTCCCAGTCAGTGACGGGATAAATAACACCGGGAATAACAATGGGAATAACAACTGCGGGAATGGGGGAATAACAATGGGAATAACAGTGGGAATGGGAACGGCAGAGACGCCAATTCCCGGTCAGTGACAGGATCAATAACAACGGGAATAACAACGGGAACGGGTGAATAAGAACGGGAATAACGGGAATGGGAACGGCAGCGCCCGTGATTCCCAGTCAGTGCCAGGAGTGGGAATGTGGGAATGGGAATGGGAACAGGAATGGGAATGGGAGAACGGGAATGGATCCAGCAGCGCTCGCACTTCCCGGTCAGCCCCGGGATAACAGCGGGAATGGGAATGGGAGAACGGGAATGGATCCGGCAGCGCTCGCACTTCCCGGTCAGCCCCGGGATAATGGCAGGAATGGGAATGGGAATGGAGGAACAGGAATATGGGAATGGCTGCGGCAGCGGCTCCGCTTCCCGGGCAGCTGGGAATGAACAATGGGAATGGACGTGGCAGGAATGGGAAAGCTGGGAATGGCAGGGATGGCGGGAATGGGAATGGCCATTCCCGGTCAGCCTGGAATAACGACGGGAATGGGAATGCCGGAGGGATGGGAATAGCGGGGAAGGGCGGAACAGCGGGAATGGGAATAGCAGGACTGGGAATGGCGGGAGTGGCAGGAATGGGAAAAGCAGGAATGCCAGGAATGGCGGGAATGGGAACAGTGGGAATGAGACTGGCAGGAGTTGCTGGGAATGGTGGGAGTGGGAAAGCCAGGAACGCCGGCCCTGGCTGATCCCAGCGGGAATTTGGGCTTTTCCCGGCAGGGCTGGAAGCAGGAGCGCGTGGTGGCGGAATTCTGGGATGGGAAAATCGTCCTGATCCTTCCCGGAGATCCCAAGCACGTCCTCAGGAAGGTACCGGCGCTTCCTCGGGAATTCCCTTGGGAACCAGCGGGATCCGATCCCCAAATCCCAGTGGAACCCAATCCCCAAATCCCAAATCCCAGCGGGATCCGATCCCCGATTCCCATCCCAAAATCCCCAAATCCCGGTTCCCTGGGCAGACCCGGCCTTCCTTTGGGAATAAATCTGGCTTTCCTGGGAATTCCCAGGAAATTCCATCCCGCTTCCTCCGGAAATTCCTGGTCCCAGTCTTGTTTTCCCAGGAATTCCCAGCGTCCATCCCATTTTCCCTGGGATGTTCCTGGAGCCCATCCCAAAATCCCAGGAATCCCCATCCCAAAATCCCTGGGAATTCCCACGGATCCCCACCCCCCTTTCCCTTTGGAATTCCCGGTTAATTCCCGGCATTCCATTGGTTAATTCCCGGTTAATTATTCCCTGTTAATTATTCCCAGTTAAACCCCTGTGGCATTCCAGCGGGTAATTCCCGGTTAATCATCATTAATTCCCGGTTAATCATTCCAGCTTAATCAGTCAATCATTTCTGGTTAATCAATCATTAATTCCTGGTTAATCATTAATTCCTGCTTAATCAATCAACCAATCATTAATTCCTGGTTAATTAATTAATCAATCACTTATTAATTCCCAGTTAATCTATCAATCAATCATTAATACCCAGTTAATCAATGACTCGTTAATTCCCAGCCAATCAATCAATCAATCATTCCTGGTTAATCAATCATTAATTCCAAGTTGATTAACCAATCAATGACTCATTAATTCCCAATCAATCAATCATTCCTGGTTAATCAGTCATTAATTCCCAGTTAATCAACCAGTCAATCAATCATTAATTCCTGATTAATCAATCAACCAGTCATTAATTCTCAGTTCAATAACCAATCACTCATTAATTATTCCTGGTGAGTCAATCACTCCCCCAATCCCTCCCTCACTCATTAATTAGCTGATGATGTGTTAATGAACTCTCATTAATCAGTTAATTAATGGATCGTTAATGACTCTCCCCAGGCTCGTTTGGCTCTGGCCAGTTAATCAGCTGATGATGTGTTAATGAACTCTCATTAATCAGTTAATTAATGGATCGTTAATGACTCTCCCCAGGCTTGTTTGGCTCTGGCCAGTTAATCAGCTGATGATGTGTTAATGAACTCTCATTAATCAGTTAATTAATTAATCATTAATGACTCTCCCCAGGCTCGTTTGGCTCTGGCCGCGGCCGATCCCGAGCTGGGCCTGGGGGGAGGGGCCCCCTCCAGCCCCCGCCGGCGCCTGCTGCTCTTCCTGGGGGGGGGGAGGGGCCCTGCAGGGCTGCCTGGAGGCCACGCCCATCACACAGGTCAGTCATTAACCCCCTAATTAATTAATTAACCCGTTAATTAGCTGGGTAATTAGCTCGTTAACTCATTAACTCATCCCCCTGCTGCTCTTCCTGGGGGGGGAGGGGCCCTGCAGGGCTGCCTGGAGGCCACGCCCATCACACAGGTCAGTCATTAGCCCCCTAATTAATTAATTAACCCGTTAATTAGCTGGGTAATTAGCTCATTAGCTCATTAACTCAGCCCCCTGCTGCTCTTCCTGGGGGGGGGGAGGGGCCCTGCAGGGCTGCCTGGAGGCCACGCCCATCACCCCATTAATTAAGTCGCCCTTTAATTAATTCATTAACTTGTTGGCTCGTTAATTGGCTCGTTAGGTCGTTAATTAAGTTGTTGATTAGCTCGGCCCCCTGCTGCTCTTCTTGGGGGAATTTTCCATCCCCATTCCCGCTTTTCCCATTCCCACTCTCCCATTCCCACTTTTCCCATCCCCATTTCCATTTTTTCCATTCCTGCTTCTCCCATTCCTGCTTTTCCCAACCCCATTCCCACTTTTCCACTTTTCCCATCCTCATTCCCACTTTCCCTTCCCTCTTCCCATTTTCCCATTCCTGCTTTTCCCAACCCCATTCCCGCTTTTCCCTTCCCTCTTCCCATTTTCCCTTTCCCGCTTTTCCCATTCCTGCTCTCCCATTCCCATTTTTCCCATTCCTGCTCTCCCATTCCCGCTTTTCCCAACCCCATTCCCGCTTTTCCCTTCCCTCTTCCCATTTTTCCATTCCCACTTTTCCCATTCCCGCTTCTCCCATTCCCACTTTTCCTTTCCCATTCCCCACTTCCCGCTTTTCCCACCCCATCCCCTCTTTTCCATCCCCCTTTTCCCCCTTCCCCAATTCCCCCATTCCCATTTTCCCGCCGCCGTTCCCGCAGGCGTTCCGGGTGCTGCCGGAGCCCTTCCCGGATTCCCGGGATACCGGCGGCGATTCCGATTCCGGCTCCCCGCGCTGGGCGTGGCGCTGCCGGCGGGATCCGGAGCCGGCCGTGTGCGGGATCAGCCGGATCTGGGTGCTGCCGGCTCGGAGACGCCGCGGGATCGCCCGCAGGATGCTGGACACGCTCCGGTGGGAAATCCGGGAATGAGCCGGGAATTCTGGGAATGCTGGGACTGGGGGAATGGGGGAATGCTGGACACGCTCCGGTGGGAAATCTGGGATTGAGCCGGGAATTCTGGGAGTGCTGGGAATGGGGGAATGCTGGGAATGGGGGAATGGGGAATGCTGGACACGCTCCGGTGGGAAATCCGGGAATGCTGGGAATGGGGAATGCTGGGAGTGGGCAATGCTGGGGATGGGGAATTCTGGGAATGCTGGGAATGCTGGACACGCTCCGGTGGGAAATCCGGGAATGAGCCGGGAATTCTGGGAGTGCTGGGAATGGGGGAATGGGGAATGCTGGACACGCTCCGGTGGGAAATCCGGGAATGCTGGGAATGTGGGAATGCTGGACACAATCCGGTGGGAAATCCGGGAATGAGCCGGGAATTCTGGGAGTGCTGGGAATGCTGGGAATGGGGAATGCTGGACACGCTCCAGTGGGAAATCCGGGAATGAGCCGGGAATTCTGGGAATGGGGGAGTGCTGGGAATGGGGGAGTGCTGGGAATGGGGAATGCTGGACACGCTCCGGTGGGAAATCCGGGAATGGGGGAATGGGGAATGCTGGGAATGGGGAATGCTGGACACGCTCCGGTGGGAAATCCAGGAATGAGCCGGGAATTCTGGGAATGCTGGGAATGGGGGAATGCTGGGAATGCTGGGAATGCTGGACACGCTCCGGTGGGAAATCCGGGAATGAGCTGGGAATTCTGGGAATGCTGGGAATGGGGGAATGCTGGACACGCTCCGGTGGGAAATCCGGGAATGAGCTGGGAATTCTGGGAATGGGGGAATGCTGGGAATGGGGGAATGCTGGGAATGGGGAATGCTGGGAATGGGGAATGCTGGACACGCTCCGGTGAGAAATCTGGGAATGGGGGAATGGGGAATGCTGGACACACTGGTGGGGAATCCGGGAATGGGGAATGCTGGGAGTGGGCAATGCTGGACACGCTCCGGTAGGAAATCCGGGAATGCTGGGAATGGGGAATGCTGGACACACTGGTGGGAAATCTGGGAATGGCCTGGGAATGCTGGGAGTGCTGGGAATGGGGGAATGCTGGGAATGGGGAATGCTGGGAATGGGGGAATGCTGGGAATGGGGGAACGCTGGACACGCTCCGGTGGGAAATCCGGGAATGAGCCGGGAATTCTGGGAATGCTGGGACTGGGGGAATGGGGGAATGCTGGACACGCTCCGGTGGGAAATCCGGGAATGCTGGGAATGGGGAATGCTGGGAGTGGGCAATGCTGGGCACGCTCCGGTGGGAAAATCGGGAATGGTCTGGGAATGCTGGGTGTGCTCCAGTGGGAAACCCGGGAATGATCCGAGAATGATCTGGGAATGCTGGGTGTGCTCTGCTGGGAAACCCAGGAGTGATCTGGGAATTCTGGGTGTGCTCCGGTGGGAAATCCAGGAAAAATCTGGGAATGGGGGAATGCTGGACACGCTCTGGTGGGAAAACCCAGAATGATCCAGGAATGCTGGGTGTACTCCGCTGGGAAACCCAGAAGTGATCTGGGAATTCTGGGAATGCTGGGTGTGCTCCGCTGGGAAGTCCGGGAATGCTGGGAATGGGGAATGATGGACACGCTCCGGTGGGAAAATCGGGAATGGTCTGGGAATGCTGGGTGTGCTCCAGTGGGAAATGAAGGAAAAATCTGGGAATGGGGGAATGCTGGGAATGGGGGAACGCTGGACACGCTCCGGTGGGAAATCCGGGAATGGGGGAATGGGGAATGCTGGGAGTGGGCAATGCTGGGCACGCTCCGGTGGGAAATCCGGGAATGAGCCGGGAATTCTGGGAATGCTGGCAATGGGGGAATGCTGGGAATGCTGGACATGCTCCGGTGGGAAATCCAGGAATGAGCCGGGAATTCTGGGAGTGCTGGGAATGGGGGGATGGGGAAATGCTGGACACGCTCCAGTGGGAAATTTGGGAATGAGCCAGGAATGCTGGGAATGCCGGGAATGGGGAATGCTGGACACACTGGTGGGGAATCCGGGAATGGGGGAATCCGGGAATGCTGGGAGTGGGCAATGCTGGGAGTGGGCAATGCTGGGCACGCTCCGGTGGGAAAATCGGGAATGGTCCGGGAATGCTGGGTGTGCTCCAGTGGGAAACCCGGGAATGATCCGAGAATGATCTGGGAATGCTGGGTGTGCTCTGCTGGGAAACCCAGGAGTGATCTGGGAATTCTGGGTGTGCTCCGGTGGGAAATCCAGGAAAAATCTGGGAATGGGGGAATGCTGGACACGCTCTGGTGGGAAAACCCAGAATGATCCAGGAATGCTGGGTGTACTCCGCTGGGAAACCCAGAAGTGATCTGGGAATTCTGGGAACGCTCCGGTGGGAAATCCGGGAATGCTGGGAATGGGGAATGCTGGGAGTGGGCAATGCTGGGCACGCTCCGGTGGGAAAATCGGGAATGGTCTGGGAATGCTGGGTGTGCTCCAGTGGGAAATGAAGGAAAAATCTGGGAATGGGGGAATGCTGGGAATGGGGAGGCTGGACACGCTTCGGTGGGAAATCCGGGAATGCTGGGAATGTGGGAATGCTGGGAATGGGGTGGGGAAAGTGGGAATGGGGTGGGGAAAACTGGGATTGGCAGGTCCAGGGAATGCTGGATGTGCTCTGGTGGGAACCGGGAATGGGAATTCTAGGAATGCCGGGAGCTGGGAATGCTGGATGCGCTCCAGTGGGAAATTGGAATGCCAGGAAGAACGGGAGTGGGGACGGGAAACTGGGAATGGAGAGGGAAAAGCGGGAATGGGAAACGGAACTGGAACCAAACCCCTCCATCCATCCCAAATTCCAGCGGAAACTCCGGGAATTCCAGCCCCGCCCCTTCCCGCCAACCACGGAGCCTCTCCCGGCCCGCGGCCAATCCCGCTTTTCCCATTCCCAGTCCCGCTTTTCCCATTTCCAATCCCGCTTTTCCCATTTCCAATCCCAGTTTTTCCCTGCAGTTTTCCCATTTCCAATCCCAGTTTTTCCCTGCAGGTTTCCCGTTTCCAATCCCAGTTTCCAATCCCGGTTTTCCCACACTTTTCCCATTTGCAATCCTGGTTTCCAATCCCGGTTTTCCCATTTCCAATCCCAGTTTTTCCCGTGGTTTTCCTGTTTCCAATCCCGGTTTCCAATCCCGTTTTTTTTCCCCACAGCTTTCCTGTTTCCAATCCCATTTTCCTGTTTCCAGTCCCGTTTTTTCCCGCAGCATTCCCGTTTCCAATTCCATTTTTCCAATCCCGTTTTTCCCGCTGTCCCCAGGCGCACGTTCGTGTTCGGGGCCGTGCTGGATTCCCAGGATTTGGCCTTTTCCGACCCCACTCCGGATGGGCGGAGCCTGGCGGCCGCCTACTGAGCCTGGCGGCCGCCTACTGCAACCGGCCCGACTTCCTGGTCTGCAGCTTCCTGCCGGGATCCCCGGGATCACCGGGATCACCGGGATCGGGATCACCGGGAACACCGGGATCCCCGGGATGGGCAGGATCGGACGGATCGGGATCACCGGGATCCCCAAAATCAGCGGGATCGGGATCAGAGGGATCCCTGAAATCAGCAGGATCGGGATCAGAGGGATCCCTGGGATCAGCGGGATCAGGATCAGCCGGAGCCCTGAAATCAGCGGGATCGGGATCAGAGGGATCCTTGGGATCAGCCGGATCCCTGAAATCAGCGGGATCAGTGAAATCCTTGGGATCGGCCGGATCGGGATCAGAGGGATCCCCGAAATCAGCGGGATCGGGATCAGCGGGATCAGCAAAATCAGCAGGATCCCTGAAATCCGTGGGATCGGCTGGATTGGGAGCCACAGGATCCCTGGGATCAGCAGGATTGGCTGGATCGGGATCACAGGGATCCCCGGGATCAGCGGGATCGTCCGGATCCCTGACATCCTTAGGATCAGCCGGATCGGGATCAGAGGGATCAGCGGGATCCGTGAAATCCTTGGGATCAGCCGGATCGGGATCAGCCGGAGCCCCGAAATCAGCGGGATCAGCCGGATCAGCAAAACCAGAGGGATCCGTTAAATCCTTGGGATCAGCTGGTTTGGGAGCCACGGGATCCCTGGAATCAGCGGGATCGGCCGGATCGGGATCAGAAAGATCCCTGAAATCAGCGGGATCGGGATCAGCCGGATCAGCAAAACCAGCGGGATCCCCGAAATCCTTGGGATTGGCTGGATCAGAATCAGAGGGATCCGTGAAATCCTTGGGATCGGCTGGATTGGGATCCGCCGGGTCAGGATCAGGGAAATCCTTGGGATTGGCTGGATCGGGATCGGTGAAATCATCTGGATCGGGATCAGTGGGATCAGCAGGATCGGGATCTGCGAAATCAGAGGGATCCACTGGATTGGGATCAGTGAAATCATCTGGATTGGGAGCCACGGGATCCCTGGAATCAGCAGGATCGGGATCAGCAAAATCCTTGGGATCGGCTGGATCGGGATCAGCGGGATCCCTGGAACGATCAGGATCGGCGGGATCGGCATCCGCGGGATCCACCGGCTCAGGATCCCTGGAATCCTCGGGATCCTCATGAATTCCTGAGGGG